CATTTCAGTCATGATTTTAACATTTTACCATTAGTATTCAAACCTAGGTCCAAATTTGGTCTAGGTCCAGCATCACTGGCCCTACTATTGCATTTCAGCACCACTTAGGTCAGCTGACTAACTCCTCCTGGTAGTTACAAAATCAAAGTTAACATCAAAGAAGGATTTTGCATTTTCTGTTTTAGCCTTATTTGCTCTGGAAACCCTTGGCCCTTCAAATTAGATCTGACAAAACATTGGCCACTTTCAAATACCCATTTACTATTTACTATCTGTTGATTGCAAGCGGTGGTTAGCATTGTTGCCTCGCAGCAAGAAGGTCGACGGTTTGCGTCCCGGTGAGGACACCCGGGATCTTTCTGCTTTTAAATGCTCTCCCCGTGCAGCATGGGTTCTCTCTGGGTTCTCCGGGTTCCTCCCACACAGTCCAAAAACATGTTGAGGTTAATTGGTGATTCTAAATTGTCCATAGGTGTGAATGTGAGTGTGTTTGGTTGTCTTTTGTCTAAGTGTTGCCCTGTGATAGACTGGTGACCTGTCCAGAGTGTCCCCTGCCTTCGCCCTGAGTCACCTGGGATAGACTCCAGCCCTCCATGACCCTAGTGAGGATTAAGCGGTGTATAGATAATGGATGGATGGGTGATTACATGCCCAATACATGGTTCTGTCCTTAAAATGTTGAGCAACACTTTAGACTATTTTTCCTGTTTTGGAATTTGCTCCACAAATAGAGATTACTCAGAGAGGTATAATCCTAATGTTTCCTTCATTTTATTTATTTTACTTGGAGCTATTAATAGGGGCATTTGCAGTTCGAGAAGATAAACTCTTGCAGTCCAGTAAAATCAAATTATAACTAACTTGGAGAATAGTTTTCTCCACCCCTTGAACAAAAAAACAATTGAAAGGCTGCGGACTCTCCTGACTGTTATTTAAAGGGTTTTTTTTAAAAAGCTAAATTAGTACTGGATCTGTCTTGATAGTTGTGGAATTGGTAGTTGAAAGATTTGTGTTGGTGCTTGACCCCAGTGTATTTAGAATCATGAGCCTTTACACTCTCCAAAATCATCTGATTATTAACAATAACTGCTATAGCTGCACTGGTGATAATTAAGAAGAAAAAAAAAACAGTCTCTCTCCTGTACATATTTGTTCCAGCTTCAAGGCAGCAGTGATGGCATATTAAAATTCTCGATGAGTACTTTCAGACACAATTACAGAATGATTTTGTTTAGTGTTGTGACTCCACATGACTAAGAAGTGGAATATTGAAACTACAGAACAGCGAGGGAGAGTGTTGCATGGTGATTTTTGTTTGTGTTTTGTGCACTGTGATAGCCAAGCCAAGAAGCCTGTAATACGGAACATTAAAGCCTGGATCACTTTGATTATAAAAAAAAAATTGGTGTTTATGGCCAAAGCTGCAGCTGTGAGGTGGAAGACTCGCTGTTCTGAGAAGTACTGATTGAAGTTTGTGTGCGTTCATTTCAGTTGTTATAGCATAACATATTTGTTTTTTGTGCATTTCTGGGCACTTGAATCAAAGCAAAAAAATGAAATATTTAATGCACACAATAGTTTTCTGTTCTCTGTCTGGGGTTATCTGGGCTTTCTGAGCTCTTTTGAGTTTGCTGGTGAAGTTTTTACACATGATTTTTTTTTAATGCTTCAGCTGGCAAAATAAGCTCCAGTCCACTATATCATTGCCAGCTGACCAGGCTCTCTTTATTAGACAAAACACCCTTAACTGTGTGACCAATAAAACTCACACAGTAACACTTAGGTAACTATTTCTCTGATGTTAGATCTCTCTCTGGTATTTGTATTGTTGACCTGCTATTTCTGCAGGTGTTGTTGATTAATTGTAGAAACATTTAATATAACACAACTGCAATACAGTACAGTTCACTGCAAGTAAACCTGGAGTGGATAAGAAAATAGTCACGTCTAAAGTGTATAGTGCAGATAAGAAAACATAATTTATCTATATGGATTTTGACATTACCAAAAGTAGTTAATGGTTGCATTGATGCAGTAAAAGTTTTGTCTAGTTCTACATTAGATTATAGGCATGTAGCTAGCAAGCTACCCTGCTATTGTTGTAACTAAAGGTTGAGATTGCTTTTCTTCAACATTTTTTTTAGCAGTTAGCAAAGAGCTTTAGATGCATTCTTACTTCACCTCCCTATGTGAGGTGCTATGACACGAAATATGTTGTGAATTGGTACAATATAAGTAAAACGTATGAATCTAATTAAACTGAATTTAATTTAATTGCCCCTCTGGGATAAATAAAGTTTTTTCTGATTCTGATTTAATTGATGTATGAGCAGTGAAACTAACTGAGAACTTGAGGATACTACAGTAGCGACCTGTCAATACCAAGGTTGCCCCACCTGAAAACATACCTTGTTTTATTTTGCCCTAATTGGATCCATTGTTTGTTAAATTAATGTGATGATGTGTACCAAAAGACTTGAAACAATCGACTGAGATCACAGACCTAATTGAAAATGTTTACTCAGGTAACTGATAAAGGGAGAAATAGGATCAATCCTCATAGATTTCTTTACCCAATCAAAAACATCCCCCCCTGCTGGCTGTTAGAAAAAATGCAGACACTTCAATGCTGACTTCCATTTTCAGACCAGGAGTCAACATACATCATTAATATACAATCTATAATGCAGATAGAAAACTTGGTGTTTCCAATGTAAAGGCTTAAAGGACATCCAGTAATTTGCAAAAACTAAAGCAAAGCTTTTAAAACCCGTCCTTCCCTGTTCGTCATCTTGCGTCACCAAAGATTTATATGTTGAAGCTCGAACACCACGTTCTGAACCAAGCAGTCAACATTCTCAAAACTACAGTGCAAACAGATGAGAATGACATTAAATTAAACACATATGTCTCCTCTAATAAAACTGTTTTGGTATGTACAGTATGTTGTCTATAAAATATGTATGAAAAAAACTTGTGCCAGAGCCTATAAAAAGCATTCATTGGAAGTTTTCTCTATATATTGCTTTTCAACATTTAATCACAGTCAATATTTGGACTTTTTGATAGGGATTTCAGAGAACATCAAGATGAAAACAGATTTCTACAAAGTAATGTCAGTTAAGTAAAAATCTAAAATGTCAAATAAGTAAATGCAGTTGAAACCAGAAGTTCACACACTGGATAAAAACACACAAAGCCTTTTCTTTTCTTACTGTCTGACATTAAATGTGACTCAGCTTTTATTGTTTTAAGTAGAAAATTCTCTAAATAATAATAATAACAATAATAATAAAATAATCTGTAATTACTCTGGCATTTAGCAAATAAAAATAATTGTGGTAATCCTAATTGACCTAAAACAGGAAAAGTTTAGTGAGGAAAAAAAAATTATATGTCTTTTTATACAATGTATGTAAACTTCTGGTTTCAGCTGTAAGTATTCAGCCCCTTTATAGTAACTCACCTTATTGAACACAGGTGTAGCCAGTTGGTGGTAGAAGTGGTAAATGGAGATCATCTGAGTGCAGTGAATGTGTCACCTGTAAGACACCTGTATCTGGAAGGTCCAGTCGCTGGTGAATCAGTACTGCTGGCAATAAATACACCATGAACACAAAAGAACACTCTGTGATGTGACTTTTTAAAAATATGAGTTGATATGAGTTAGGAAAAGGAAGGAATGTGGTAAATGAGTAAATCTGGCCAGAGCAGCTCATCCTCAAAAACTGAGTGACTGTGCAAAAAATAAACTAGTGAGGAAGGCCACCAAGACACCTATGACTCCTCTGAAGGAGTTAAAAGCTTTATTGGCTGAGATGGGAGATACCGCGCATACAGCAACTGTTGCCTGTTCTTCACCAGTCAAAACACTATGGGAGAGTTGGAAAAAGCCCCTTTTGAACAAAGCTCATAATAAATATCAACCAGAGTTCACCAGAAGGCCTGTGGGACACCCTGAAATCAATTGGAAAATGATCTGTGGTTTGAGTAGACAAAGGTTTAGCTTTTTGACAATCAGACCACCATACTTGGTGGACACCAAACGCTGCACATTATCCAAAATGCACCATCTCCACCGTGAAGCAAGGTGGTGGCAGCATCATAATGTGTGGATGCTTTGCAGCAGCTGGCCCTGGAAGGCTTGTAATGGCTGAGGGATGAATTAGTGCAGCAGAGAATAGGGACATCCTGTCGGACAACCTGATGCTTGCCTGAAGCATACAGCCAAAGCTTCATAGAAATAGTTTAAAGACAACAAGGGGAATGATTTGGAGCAGCCAAGTTAGAGTCCAGACCAGACCTGAGTCCAATTGAGAATCTGGGGATGGACTTGAAAAGGGTTGTTCACTCACGACTAGGAATTGCACTTTTACTTTGTAGAAATGTTTTGAGAGTCTTATTTATTTATTTATTTATTTTTGGATATTCTTGTCAAAAAAGCCAAATAAAATTAACCACAGTTAAATGTTGAAAGGGAATAAAATCTGGGGGGTGAACACTTTTAATGTACAATGTAATACAATCAAAAGCTGTTTTCTGGGGGAAAATCTGACCTGTAGATTTGTTAGTTGTTTTTTTTTTTCCTTTTTTTTTTTCCTGACTTGATAATCACTAATATATTGGTTTTCTTTTTCTATTTGTCACAGTCAGTGGAATGAAATCATACCACACCACATCTCTGACGAACCTCTTTTCCTTTTCAAGTCTTGTTGAAAGACACATTAAAAGTCTCTTGTTCTCGGCAGAGTCACACACTTGTGTGTGTGCAGACTCCCATACGTGCTCTGATAGGCGTCTAATCCCTACACTGTGACTCTCACATGATGAAGAAATCCCACGCCTCCCAGCAGCCTGAGGCTAAACACAGCATGGTTACTCCACCTCAGCTCACATGCTTTCCTGTACTCTAGTGAATGCTGCCCCTATGTTTCAGTTTAGCTTGGGTCATTCTGTCCAGTGAAAAGCGGAGGGAGGTTCATGTCCCTGTGGTTTACAACATGAGGAGATATTTGGTGATAAAAAGAATTCCCTGGCCGTGGTTGAGGAGAGATACGACACAAAATGAGTCTAGTCCACTCATACCAAAGGTAAGTGTTTCACTAGGTTACATTTCTTTCTGAATATTGTGTTCTTGTGTCATATGAAATGTAGTTACGTGTTATAGGTGGCATTAGTTCTTGAAAATGATGATAGTTTGTTGCATTCCTGTCTATCCAAAGGCAGGATCTGCAAAAGAGGATGCTGAGGAGCTCGGCCATGTCACCACTGACTTTCAAGCAGGGACAAACAATGGACAGCACCAAGACAATCCCGCATTTACAAGGATCCAACCCCGCTACAGATATTCCTTAATGGACTATTTGCTAAAATACTTCCTGTTCCTATGCAATCTGTTGTTCACTGTTCTGGGTTTGGTGATCCTTGGTCTGGGGATGTGGGGCCTCATCAGCAAAGAATCATTTGCGCAGGAGAAGATTGGTGGTCTCGGCACTGACCCAATGCTGATACTTGTGACTCTGGGCCTTCTTCTCACTATGCTCTGCCTGTCGGGCTGTGTCGGTGCTATAAGAGAGAACTGCTGCTTACTGAAGCTGTTCTCCGCCATAGTGCTGGTGCTCATTACAGTTCAGGTACTGTTTGCCATTTTGGCATATAGCATGCAAGATCAGATTGGAGGCTACCTACGGTCAGGGATGTTAGCTGCCATGGCGGGTTACCAAGACGATCTGGATCTGAGGTTCATCACAGACGAGATTCAGTCAAATCTGCAGTGCTGTGGGGCAGATAACTACCGCGACTGGGAGATCAACATGTGAGTAGAGTGTGACCAACTTGGAAATATTTTTCTCTTGAAAAGTACATCATGACTTATTGGTCCTGATGCAGGAATGTCGTGGAAAACTAAGCATGCTACTCAGAATGTCACTAGATATTATTTGTCCCTCAGATATTACAACTGCTCAGCTCCGGGAGTGCTGGCCTGTGGCGTCCCTGCAACATGCTGTGTGGACCCTTTGGAGAATGGAACAGTTTGGAACTCTCAGTGTGGCGTAGGAGCCCAGCTGTTGGATGAGTTTACTGCTCAGAGTGTGATCTTCCTGGGAGGATGTCTGGGGGGAATCTCTCGCTGGATAGAGCTGCACGAGGGCCTGATCGGGATAGTTGCAGTTGTTGTAGTTGGAGTCCAGATCGTGGCTCTGTTCATCACTACGCGACTTCTGGAAAGTATCCAGTGGCATAAAGTTTACGTATAGCATGGAGTGATGAATACAACATTAATGAGTCCTGACTGGTTTGGGGGTTTTTTTTGTCTTTTTGTTTTTCAATCCTGGCATTGTCAGTCAGTTCATTGAACTTCACTACAAAGACTCATGTGATTATACTTGTTTTGCTGATGGCGACTTAAATGAAGACATACTAATTTAAAAATGTCAAATAGAGTAATATTGCATTTAAAGTTTTAAAGCCCAAAAACAAAAACATTTAACGTATTTAAGAATGTTGCCTTGCCTCGCTGTAACTCTAGACTCTGCTGTGTTGCAAAAACCTTCACTTCCTGGACAACTTCTTTAATCCTTTAACCTACTCTGAAAGGAAACATTCACAGTTTGCCCAGTCATCTTATTTTATAGACCAACTGTCCTCATGAGCTGCGGATAAAAACAAAGAAGCAACCATCTTTTTTAAGGGAATAATCTGACTTTTTGGAAAACAAACTTTTAACAACTTTTAAAGACATTTCCTGTCTTTTGCTGGGCTAAGCTAACAAGCCACTGTCTGTAAAATGACATTCACACATCAGTGGTATAATTTTTCTCTTCTAACCTGCTTCAAGAAAGCAGATTACGTCCCAGAATGTCAAAACATTCCCTTAACTATTAGCAAAAAGCCCACGATGCTGATGAAATGATACTAACCACGTGGAACCAGGCAGTGTTTAACTGATCCTGAAATACTTCGGCACTGTTCAGATTATTCTGCTGCTCACATATGCTGCTCTTTTTTTAAGGGAGAAATAAAGCATCATATTGTGTATTATGTAATGCTTCACACAGTAGTGTGATTTAATAACATGATATTCAGTTTGGCAATTACAAAAAGAATGAAGCATGAGAAAATATTTAAAGCTGCTTTAAAAATCCCAAGCTTTATTTTTAGTTTAAATATAACAAACACAGTGCTGACGGTTGTTCAGAAACTCCTGCAAGCCAGTAACCGAACTTTCAGTTCCAGCTCCCACTGCAGCCTCAGGCAATAACTCATTCAGCCTCAGTGTTTTATGGGCTTAAAAATGGCAGCTTGAGAGTCTTATGAAAATAGTTGTACTGTACAAAATGTCTTAGACAAAGAACAGCATTCTCAATATACATACATTACATAAATTAGACATTGCAATTGTAGTAGGAGGTTTGCAAGTCAAAAAAAAAAGCCACTATTGATGATCTAGACTGTTGAAATCAGTTACCGAAATTCCAAGTAACTTGAACGTGCCACATTAGTTCCCTTTGGTAAACAAAAAAAATCAGAGAAGAGACTTAGATGATTCCATACTGAGCTAGTTCATGCAGCTCTAGATGGCTGTACGCTTCCCATGGGCAGATCACAGTGATGTCTATGAAGGAAAGAACAAATAGTGATTAAAAAAAAAAGAAAAGCTGTTTGATAGGTGTGTAAGTGGTGTCATAGCCTAACTGTTCTAATTCTTACCACTGCCAAGCCACTCCATTCCAGGAATCTCCTCTCCAAAGCTGATGAAAAAATAAAATCAGAAGTGGTTTAGATATTTTGAAACTTTCTAGATGCATGAAAATGTATTTAAGAGTAGCTTACCCAATGACTCCCTTTTTGGGGGGCTTGCTCTTGAACTGCCGGGTGCTTCTCTGTTTGAACCTGGGTGGTCCCTTGTCTGTGGAGCCAGGACCAGCTGCTCTGAGGGGAGCTTTGATGCTAGACTTTGCTTCAGGTCTGGCTACATCCAAATTCATGTTCCTGTCGTTCAAGCTACAATGGGACAATAACTGTGTCAAAAAATACGATATAACGCCTGAAAAAAATCAAAACATTGTGCTTATTGTGGACAAAGCATTTTACTAGCATTGCTGTCAACACTATGGCCCTTATAAACCAATAACAATCAATATTCAATTCTATTTCTCTGTATTTTGCAATTTTGAAACACAAAGTGATATATAATAAAGTGTCCTACTGTAATTACAAACACTTCTAAATAACTGAAGAAATGCACTTATGTACAGATAACAAAGGCTCCTGTAATCTTGTGCTCGCGCTACAAATCAAACCTCCACAATGTCTCTAATCTTCAAAGCACCTTTGTAATCAGATTACTATAAAGACGTGCTGAATTTGCTTGTGATCTAACCTGACAGTAGCTCATAGAGTACTCACAGTCAGATTTTTTTTACCACTGAAAGGAGAACATTAATAAAAGGACAATTTGCTTTCGGGTATAGGTACAAAATGACAAAACAACAAGAAATAACACAATAACAAAATTTAAAGCTGAGAGATTTTTACTTTTGTGTGCATAATATGTAAACAAATTCTGTAAGGATTGTTACACAGGTATATTTACTCATACGTGCATGTAATGCAATACGGTACAAAAGCGCTGTAAAACATATGTATGCAAATTTTTAAATGTTGAAAATGTGGAACGTGAAAATTCTTTAACATGTTCATTACCGAAGTCATAATTAAATTCCTATTCATATAGATAAGGGTGGACATAATATTAGAAACACCTCTTTATATGATGCACTCCAGTTCAACACAACAGCAACTATGACCTCAGTCCGTCATGTATCTAATTAACACGAGTCAAAGAATCTGACTCAGCATCATTAAAGCAAATTTAACGAACTGTTGTGTTGGACTGCATGAAGTTGCACCAAATAAAGTGAGCACTGAGGACATGACTATTGTTAGGCACATACAAGTTTCCAAATTTCCACTTTTAAACCTGTCGATTACATTTTTTAAAATCTAATAAAGTGATTAATTTTTGAACAAATACAAGGAAAATCTGGTCCAAAAAGCACGCAAGGAGAAAAAAACTGATTCTAAATAGTATGTTTAAATGCATGAGTGTGTCCAAAATGCACAAATGCACTGAAGCTGGTCCACAGCTCAAAGATATTATCTAAGTTGTTGCTTATACTCACCGCCTGTGCTGCTGTGTATCTTCGTTGGTTGTATCGTAGAGGTCTGGGCTGCTGTTAAGTGATGAGCTGTGTTTAGTGAAGCCCTTTTATACGCTTCAGACCCTGAGAAGATTATGACGCTATCAGCTAATAAAGTCCCGTGAAGTCCTCATCACTTGTACACACACATCTTTAACACTACGTAAGCAACAGGATGTTCATGAATGATTGACAGGAATTTGAAGGCACAACAGTTGCCTGCTTTTGAGACTTTTCTGAACAGACACAAAACAGCAGAGACAAATGCAGATGTTTCTAGAAGAACCACCACATATCACCATTTTCCAGATGCTGCACATTTCTGGCAGGGGCTGAACTGTGGGATGTTCTCAGAATATGTTCCATCATCATCAGTATCTTCCCACCACCTACAAATATTACGCAACGCCCGCAGCCGAGAACAATCCAGCATGACCAGCGGTGTTCTCCTTTCATCAGCAGTCTCTCAGATTGAGTTGCATTATGACTGGTAATCCAATCCAAACTCCCACACACACATACACACACCTAGTCCATTCATCTATTGGTTTACTGCAGCGTCTGTCTGTAATCTGTACTGTTCGTACACATGCACACACGTGAGTCACATGTATGGACCATTTCCCTTCGTTTTTTTCTCTCTCACTGTTTCTCTTCATACCAAATATTCTGTACACAAACATGCATTGAATAGCGGTATCTGTATTTAAATGATGTATAAATCGTGACCTCTTTTAGATCATTTAGCTGAACTAACATCCTCGACAAACACTGAAAACAATAGAAGCTCAGGAGTGTGTATGCTGCTGGAAACAGGAATGTACGGTGCATGGACCAAATGCTTAATAAGCTTTTGTAGTGCTGTCTGAATGGTGTTAAATCTAGGACTGCAACTAACGATAATGGTACATTGTGGATTATTTCTCTGTTTTGTTTGTCATTCTGCATAATGAAGACACCCTCAGACTTTTATGTTTTATGTACATTGTGATGGTATACCTAAATACTATGGACTTGGAGTATTTGTACATTATGGAATTACACACATAAAATATATAAATGTTTAAAACTCAAATATTCAAAATAATTAGATATAAAACAGAGAAAAGCAAATTCACCAATTTGAGAAGCTTAAATGTGCAGTTGTTTAGCATGTCTGTCTATTTAAATGACTAAACAGTTTCTCAGTTATCAAAATTGTCAATTATTTTTCTGTCAGTCAAACCTAGCTGATTAATTAAACCCAGGTTTTGTCCTAGATGCATCAGTGGAGCACATAGTCTCTACTCTCAGTAAGATTGTAGGTAATATATACACACACTTGTATATGTAGCCTGCAGACAGCAGCTTGCCTTTCATACAGAGGTCACTGCTCATAGGTTGGTTTTACTTACACAGTGTTTATGTACAAAACCACTGCCTGGCCTAAATAGATATTTTATATAATTGTGCTCCAAATTATCTTTGTTGTACATTTTAGCTATAAATTATTAAAAGCATAAGACAGTCTATATCAGACTGTATAACAAGGATGGACTTAGCCACCGTGACGCCACCCGTTGGTTTCTGCACTGAGAAAATGAAGCCATTTTGCTACTTCCTGGATTTTTGAAGAGAGCAGGAGAGCAGTGATTGGTCAGACTGACCGAGAGCCGAGGACTCTCTGCCCAGCCCACATTTACCGGCTTCTGCTGCTGTCAGGTCAGTGTTAAAGTCATCTCAGTACCTGGTTGTTTTCATGTTCACATCTAGACTTATTACATCTAAAAGCAGCGACCTGTGTTACTGTACCTGAAGTTACCCTAAGTCAATATCAGACTGTGAAACCTCTGATGGTAAAACCTGATCTAGCGTCGTGTTTTGAAGTCGTTGAGGAAACTCATTATAGAACATTCTCACAGTATTCCATCATAATAAAATAACATTCAAGAAATGTTTTCTAGATGTTACCAAAATCTCAGATGACAACATTGTTTTATAAGATGTTCCTGTAATGTGACATTAACAAGGCTACATGTTCAGGCTACATGTCTGGTTCCCATGGCAACATGACACAGTGTGTGATATTGTAACTACACAGATTCAGTGATATGAGCAACATACAGCTCATGTTTGCAGATAAAACACATTCAAAAGAGAGCCACCATCGTGACACTGAAAACTGACTTTAGGCTCAGCATACCTGATAACCTACTAATCTCACTTCATAGTACAGCCCTCAGATCTTAAGGCCTGACAAACCAAACACTGCTGCAATGATGAAACACTAAACAGTATTTTGTCAGAAAAAAAAAAACAGCTGGACTGAATCAGACAATGATTTATCTGCACTCCAGCTTTAACACTCTTTAAGGGAATGGGAAAATTACTTGCGAGATTCAAATACTGAGGCAGAGACTACCAGAAGACAGGATGGATGTTCTGTGGAACATGTTGACTTGTAAAACATCTAGGACACAAATCTAACTGCTGTCTAAAGGAGGAACTCCCATATCCATCTGAGCCAAGCTCATATGTTAAAGCTGGTATCAGTGTGCAGTTAACCTGTCAAACAGAACACAACTCCATTAAAACAGATATTTAATTTTCATTAACTTGGTGTGTTTACAGCCTGGAGGACTGAAGAGGCATCCAAGGACACCAGGTGGATGAGTGATGAGGTTAAACATGGCAGATCACATCAGGTCAGTCCCTCTCTGAATGAAGCTGCAGGACTTTGACTCCAACAGCTGCAGAGTTTCCTACAGATCCTTAGAGGAAACCCAGAACTTCTTTCTTAGACTCTTCTTGCATTTGCTGGACAGTCAGTTCTGCACCATGATGTCATTGTCCTCTGGAGCCCTGATACAACCTGGATGCATGAGCTGTTCTATTTAATTCAACCATAAAAATGACACAATCTTAATTTTATGTTTTGAGTCTCCCACCTTTATAGACACCAATTTAAAGAGGATCAAGTGTTTGCTTGTTTAAATATCTGGAAAAAGCAAAGAATTGTCATGGTATTGTTGCATTTTCTTTACAGAACCACTGTTATGACGGGTCAGGAAACAAAGGGGTGGACACAGATCAGGCAGACAGGTGAAAGGTTTCAAAGAGTTTATTAAATTAAATAAACATGATAGACTAGACAAACCAGTATAGTGGGAGGAAACTAAACTGGGGCAGGGGGGGGACAGGGTAAACCAGAGTGAATGCAAAAAAGGGAGTAAACTACAAACACTAGGGAAGACTCTAAACTATGAACAGAGGGGGAACCTAAGACATCCTACGATGAATTAACTGAGCGAAAATAACCAAAAACTTAGTTAAATCAGCGGCAAGTGTGCCACAGTCGCAGAGGGGTTCAGGTGGCAGGTGCTCAGCAGGTAGGAGACAGCTGGGGGACCGGCAGGAACACAGGGTTTCAAAGACTATGCTCTGGCAGGGAGTAGTGGAATGAGCTGAGTTCCTTATGGAGCAGAAGGTGATTGTGGACAGGTGAGCTGATCCCCACAGCTGTCTCCAGTACCTGTAGTTAAGCAGGCTGCATGCTGGGCTGGGTGGACAGAGTGGGCAAGCAAGAGAGGTAGAGAGAAGGAGGGAGAAGAGAGTGATAGGAAGAGGAAAAATAGGGAGGCAGGCGAGGACTGAGGCGTGATGACAGTGTTTCGCTGTTCACTAATCTTAAAATCTTTGTTTGCAGATGTTTGTTTTTTTAAAGAGAGAAGCTGCTGTTTGCTTTTCTCAGCAGCAGTCTGAGAAGTTTCTACTGAGATCCAGTCTTTGGTCACATTTCACCAACTGTTGAGGCTCTAACATCAGCAGAATCTGATGTGTTAAAGTTTGACCAGACAAGGTTCCAGTTTTTGTTTTTTTACTATGTTGACCATCAGAAAGTTTTTATTGTTTATTTCCACATGAGGAATCTGAGTCAGTGTTCAGAACAGTTGATAGCAACAAGCAGACATAAAAGTGCTGCAGTTTATAATATAAATGGAGTATAAATATAAATAAGATGGAAAATAGAAGCAAAAATAATTCACTAATGTCCAGATAAAGATGTGATTAATCTGGAGTTGATTTTACTGCAGCAGCTGAGTATTCATGACTGATGTGAGACTAGTTTCGGTGTCTGAATGCCGAGTTGAGCTTCATGTGAAGCTGGCTGGCTGAAGCAGGAAGCAGCATCACTGAAGCTGCATTTGAAGCTGCTCTGAGGCCACGTTTTAACATTTTCACTTAAGTATAAAAGTATCAGCATCAAAATATGCTTTGAACGATTTCTGAATAATGTATTAAATAGGGCTGCAAGGTGGCTCGATGGTTAACGTTGTTGCCTCATAGCAAGAAGGTAATACAGGTAATACATGTGCCTTATTAGGCCTGATTCAAATGTTTTAGAGTCAAACTTCTTAACATATGACAGTAACTAATGTATTTTCACTAAAAGTCCAAGTTATTATAAAAGGTATCTGTATTTTTCCACCAGATTTATTGTTTAATTCTTGCACAAGTGTAGGGGAAGATGCTAAAACACAGCATACAACTGAAGTGAGTTATCAGTGCAAATCATTTCATATTTTATTGATACTAAAGGCTGTTACATCTGTACAACTTAAAGCTGCAAAAAAAATATATATTCAATTAGAAAAAGTGGCTTTTTTTTAATAGGCTTTTGCTGTGACAACATTTTCTGGGTGACCTTTGTTCAGTAAAATCCTGTTCATGTCTCCTGTCACATCCCCTCTTAAGAGGAAAGCAACACACCAACCAAAAGGAATGCAGGAGTCATTGTGAGGTGCACACAAAAACTGGAGTTTTATTTCAACAGTGCTTCAACGAAAAAAGGTGCACAAAAGTTTACAAAAAGAAGTGGGAGGAATGGGACAAAGTGGTGGTGTCAAACAATTAAAAATGAGAAAACAAAACAAGGCCTGACTAACTCTTCTGTAACAAAATAAACCCAAACAAAAGACCTAACTAACTTTTCTACAAACCAAGCCTTGCAATAAATACATAGGTGGCACCAACCAATAACCCTGGTGTGTATAACAAAAGTTTTCCTACGTGCTGAAAAGTGTAGGGTACCCAACTTACCTAACATCCCAACCTCACCACCACAGAAATGTACAGCCACGTTTCTAGTAAGTAAACCACGAGTCTCTCAGACAAAGCACCATGCAGTCACAACAGCAGCTCTCTTGATCTGATACTGGGCCTGGTTTTTATGCTGCAACACACCACAGCTGATTGTCCAGCTTGAGAGGTGGCAGTCAGCTTTCACACACACACACACACACACACACACACACACACACACACCCCTCTGGCACGTAACACTGCTGATACGAAGTGTTTTCACTGCACATTATAAAAACAGAATGCGGGATCAAGGTGAGGATATGTTACAAAAGTACAAAGAAAATATATATAAAATTACAGTTTAATGACTAAAGACAGCCTCAGCATCCTCCACTGAACATCAAACCATTCAGACATTTTAAACATTTACATCTTTATGACAAAACGCCTCATTTCCACAGTTTTGCTTCATGGCTGGCTGCGCCTCCTGCTGGTCAACACGAGGAAATGCATTCCATTACTGACAGAGGAAAACTTTAATGCAGAGACGCATCACCTGCACTAAAATGTAACCAATAAAATCTAGACAGAAATAAGCAAGAATGTTATTGTCATTTTGTGTCAGTTTTTTGTTGTTGTTTTGTGTCTCAGGTTGTGTTGTTCCCTCCTTTTTTTGTCAATTTGTCAATTTTTGGTGTGCTATCTTCTTTTTCTTTTTTTTTCGTTTTATGTCTCATTCGTTGTTGTTGTCTCAGCGTTGTTGTTTTGTCTCATTTGAGTAATTTCGTCTAAATTTAATTTACATTTTATGCCTGGATTTTGTCTTTCATCTTTGTGTGAATATTACAGTTAAAAATTATTTTAAAAATTATTGCAAATTATATACATTACAGTATATACTGTGTATACAGTGCATTACAGACTCTACAAAAATACCCATGAAAACCCAACAAACCAAAGGAGTCCCTCTGAGCAGCATATTAACAGAAAAGGATTGTAGGAACCATGAATAAGATGAAATATAAAGAGATTGATTTTATATTACTCATAATATTTTGACATGATTCATATTAATGTTAAGTATTGTTTGGTATTATTATGGTTAGTTATTTGTATATTTCTGATTATTTGTTGGGAGCTGGTCACATGGTGGTGAAGCTTATTTAGGTACCTGCTCACCAGTTGGTGAAGGAGAGGGTGAGTGGGATGCCGTATTTTTTGTTGACTGCAAGCTTGATCGTTGTGAGATTCATTTCATTATATTTTGTGCACGTTATATTAAGTTAACCTTTTTCCTTATTAAACTTTTGAAAGGTATTTGGATATCAGCGAATCTTTTGTACAGCGTGTCGAACAAAGAGCTAGGCCCAACTTCATCCTCTCAGCACTCTTTAGTTATTCATGAAGTCGCTACAAGGATTTAAGCAGCAGAATTGTTCCTGTAGACACCAAACATGTCATACCAGATGGTTTGGACCGTCTTTAACTGATGCTGATGTTCAAAAATAAACTTTTGTTTAAAAAAAATAAACTGATCATGAACCTGCACAACAAATTGGACCATATGAACTACGCAGAAAAGCAGATTTTGTGCATCTTTAGCCAGATTTCAGATGGAACTGTCTGGTTTTGCTTCAGTGGAGACCAACACTCGCAACCACTTATATTCTCTAAATGCAAGAGGAGAGCAGCAAGTACGAGAGGTGTGACTGGAAGGAAAAGTACCAGAAGGATCTTCACTGATTCCCAGTCGAACCAAGGAGACGTTCACCACTGTCCTGAAAGAAGATCATCATATGCATGTTTTTGTTTTGTTTGGGGTTTTTTTCAGCATTAAATATCATCATTTACCCAAAACTTTAGATGTAGCTGAGCACAAAGATGTTTTTTTGTGCTCCAGCTAAAAGAAAAATACCATTCTGGAAATGATTTGGAAATAAATCCTTGTGCTTGATTTTCTATTTCTATAAATCTCTCTATATCTATAAAATATCCGAACCAGCTTTTTAAGACGGCATAATTCGTGTATCTGCCTGTATCTGATTTTGATGCACAGATAGAAGTCTATGATTAGTTACCTGCGAGCCACCGTTGTCCTGTGGTGATGTCACTTGTCGCATTTCCACCGTCCCACAACAATCTAGATTAGAAATACCAGATTAAAAATAAAGACAACATACGGCTAAACAGCAATAAAGATTAACAGCAAGTGATAGAAATGCAGTGCATTCACATACTGGGTGCTCCACTGTTGTCTTTTGCTCTGCAGCGTATCCCCAATGTACAAAGCACTGCAAGAAGAGACACTGCAAGAAGTCCAACAGTCACGGCCCCAACAATCAAAAATAAGGTTTTATGATCTGTAAATGAATGAAAGTGTTAGATTTCATCTTTGGTTCAAGCTCTGATTGTTCAGAAACATGATGATGACCCAGACATGAACTACAGTTCTTATGTACAAAGTGCAGCTCAGTTAAAGCTAATGTGAGGCATCAGTGGTTAATGAATTAACAAAATGAAGTGGGTCTCTGCTGAAGTTAGTCGTTTTGGTATTGCACAGTTCACCCTGCATAAACAGGACCAATAATTACACTGATCAATAACTCTTTCAGAGGACATACAACATGTGAGAAGTGTTTTAACTAGGAAACTGAAAAATCTGAATTCCAACTATGAGGTTGTAAAACTACACGACAAAATGCATTTAAGTTCTGGTAAGAACTGACACCAGGTCAGTTTTACATCCATCCAGGTGTCACGGTCTGAACACTGGATCTGGTTTCTGTTCATGTCCTCTGTAACCAGCTGTGAGCATCAGTATTATGGGATGTGTCATAGTGTGAGCAGTCAGACTGCAGCAGTTTAATGTCTGTGACATAGAGTCACAGAAACAATCATTGGTACTCTGGATGTGTTTCTGGTTTCTGATCATTCACCAGAGAAAACTTTAAAAAGTGCATTCTGGGTAAACTTATTACGCTCATATCAGCATGTGTGATGGTGGTTGGCCAGAACAAGTTCTAGACCGGGGATCTCCAACTCCGGTCCCCATGAGCTACTGTCCTGCAGGTTTTAGACGTTTCCGTACTGCAACACACTTGACTCAAATCAATGGATCCTCAACAGACTTGTGTAGAACTTGACAACAAGCTGTTGGAGATCCATTCATTTGAGTCAGGTGTGTTGCACTGATGCTTATGCAGAACGATCCATCAGTAATCTGAACAGAAGTATGAAGTCCTGGTCAGACAGGGCAGCGTACCTGAGCGGTGAGGTGGACACCACTGTGTGGAGTTGAGCGATGCTGTTTCCTCACTGACAGGGTTCGCTGCTCTGCAGATGTAGATGCCTTCAGGCTGACTCTGGATCTGCAGAGGCAGCGTCAGGTTGACGGAGATGTCTGGGTCGCGGCTCTCATTCAACTTCTTCTCTTCTTTGTACCAGGACAAGGTAACTTCAGGCGCATTCCTCACTGAGCAAATGGCATAACAGATCCCATCATTTGCCAGCTGATATGTGATGCTTGCGTTTGCTGGTGTGATGTGTGGTTTGGGAACAAGTTCTGCAACAAAGAAAAGTCATGTGAAGAGGCATGAAATGAGGAAGGTGTCAGGTCACAAAATCAGATAGGCGTCACATTCATTTCCTGGTTCTTTATGGCGTCAACGCTTTTATTGTTGTTGACATTTGGCTGAAAATGTTGCCTCCTGAATATTCTAAAATCACTGGACCAGCTGGCAGAGAACATTCCCACAAGATTAGCTAATATTACCTACAAGTTCTTATTGTAATTTTTTTTTTATTTTTTTCAATCAAATGTTAAAAGAACATTTCAGGAATGTTTTAATTTCAGAAATGTAATGTGCTGTTTTATTGTCAACATTTAGAGAACATTGTCAGTAACAAAGATCATGTTCCGTCATAACAAAAGAAAGAGGAAGATTCACAAAATGTTTTCTAAATGATATCGACGCCTCAGATGGCAGAATGTTCCTTTAAGAGGCGTTTCTGTACTGTGATACATTAGCTAAAGTAGGACATTGTGCCTGTAATGTTCTGACAACATTTTGGTGTTCTTGTTGAGGAAACACATAATAGAATGTAAAATAAAAACATTCCCACAATCTTCCACAGTATTATGCATCTTATAGAGTTCCTGTACTGTGATATAATAAAGGTGGAACTTCAGTCTTGTTGTTAACAGAACACAAAACGGCACATTCTTCTATAAAACATTCTCACAATGTTTCATTGTAATGAAGGAGGAACGTTTCCTACCAAGACCTAAGATGACAGAACATTTTTTTATGCAGTTATTTTATTCCTTTGACAAGGTTTATTATATTTCAAGATGTTATTATGACGTCAGATGACAGAACGTTCTTTGTAAGACTCCTGTAATGTGATATATTGGGGTGGAATATTTAGCCTTGTTGTTGAGGGAACGAATGTAGAACGTTCTCCTATAAAAAAATTCTGACAACGTTCCACGATAACAAAGGAAGCATGTTCTTTACCAACATTAAAAAATGTTCTCCAGTTGATATCTTCTATCAGAATGTTCTTTATGCAGAATGTTTTAAAATGTTCCTGTAATATAATTTATTTAGGGTGGAACATAGAGGTTTATTCTACAAAATGTTCCCTCAGTGATAACAAATGGCATTCCTGTATTGCTATGTATTACAGGTAGAACATTTAGCCTTGTAGTTGACGGAACGCATTATAGAGTGTTCTGCTATAGAACGTTCCATCATAACACAGGAAAAACCTTCTCAAACATTCAAAAAATGTTTTCCAGATGTTGCCAGAACGTCCTTTAAAAGACGTTCCTGTACTGCAATATATTAACAAAAGAGGAACATTCTGTAATGTTCCGTAATCCTGTAATGTTCTGAGGATGTGTTGGGGATATTGTTGAGGAACACGTTATAGAATATACTATTACTTATAGAATCTATTAAACATTCCCAAAATGTTCCGCAGCGTTCCGGGATAACAAAAAAGGGACAATGTTCTCAGTGCAACGTTCAGTTTTGAGCATGTTGGAGCACAACACTCTAACATGTTATCACCAAACATTTTTAGAACATCTTTAGGTTTTCTACCTTTGGGGTGAATATTCTGGGAACTAAAAGAAATGTTCTCACTGAAAACATGAGTACAACTTTGCAGAACTTTCTCAGAGCATTCTTGGGACTTCAGAGGTTTTATAGCTACTGAGCAATAAACAAGCTGAACACAGCCTCAGGTTGAGGAAGGTTTTCGTTTAGTTCACACTGAACGAGACCGACATGTAAAATGGTCCTTGTAGAACACCCACCATAGACCGTGATGAAATACTGCCTCAGGATGTACAGTTCGCTTCCAATCAGCATCTTCACGCAGTAGTACCCAGCCAGGTCTCTTGTCACGCTGGTAAAGGTGAGAGCTCCAGTGTGCTCGTTCAGCTGCAGAACATCCTTAAAGGTTTCATTGATGAAAGTCTTGAAGTCCTTCCACTGAGCGATCAGTGTTCCAACAAAGTCTCGACCCTTAGTCCACTTCACAGTATGGTGTTTCTGTAGCTCTTTTATTCCAGGATCCAGAGTGACGTTGTTCCCGTCCAGAACATTAACATTAATAACTGTATTATCTGGAAAAATCACAGATACTATGTTACTAATATATTTACAAAGCAAGAAAACCACTTGCTTCAAAAACGTTTTAATAAAGTGATATGAATATTATTATAGGCAGTAAAAGGTTGTCTTACCGTGGACAGTTAGGTTAAATCTTTGGAGCAGGGTTCCTGTTTCTGTGAGAACCTGAACCAGAAATATGCCACTGTCATTGACGGTGAGGTTAGAGATGGTGATTGACGCCGTTTCTATATTTGTTTGTAGCCTGTTTCCAAATCTGGTCCCGTTGACAAGAGTGATTTGTCCATTGGTGACAATGGTTATTGCTAAAACCGGTTGATGCTGGCCATAGGTCCACAGATAGTCCTTAGACTGATGCGCTGTTTGGTTCAGATGTAAGGTCACAGTCTCTCCATCCCGCTTCGTTACTGGTGGTTCTTCACCAAATGCAAAGCCTGAAAGGAAGATGTATGTAAACGATGTATGAATACATAACAATGTGAAGCATTCCTCCTTTTAGTCAACAATCAAAATACGCCTAAATAACTGGAGCAGTTATGTTTTTGTGGTGAACCACTGGATCAGTGATTCAGTGGAACCACTTCAGAGGTGCCTCTGATGGCGATAAAGGAGGCCACAGCCAGTTCCTGAACTCTCATTGGCCACCCCCGATCTGATAGGTCATTCACTGAATCTCTGATGTCCAAGTTTCAGGGAATGCAACTGGTGTTCAAATGCAAGTGAAAGCAGCATTAGAAGACTCTATCGGACATGTGTGGCAGCAACCAATCAGCTGTCCAGCCCATGGCTTTGGTTGAAAAAGGGGCGACACAGAGCTTAAAGCGTTAACAGGGGCCGAAGTTGAGTTTGTTGCTTCCACCTGTTTGTAGGAGTCCTTCCTCTGAGCTAAGAAAATAATAATCAACATTAGCTGCATCTATTAATGTGAGTCAGGTGAGATTACAACACTAACCAACAAGGACTTAATCAAGGTTTTAACTAACAGGAGCTGGAGTTTAAATTGTTGCTTTTAGTTATTTGTAGGAGTCTTTCCTCTAAGTTTATTAACAGTAAACTTTAGCTACTGTTATTAACATGAGTCCGGTCAGATTACAACACCCACCAGTAATGAATGTGGAAAGCTGGAGTTCAGTTTGTTGCTTCCAGCTTTAAGGAGTCTTTCCTTTGAGCTTAACAATTACCTGAACATCAACAGCAGCAGGATCCATATGGACGTCTCAAAAAAAAATTACGCAATACACAACAAAACAGAGAGGTCATTAAATATTTTGAATGGTGTATTCTCACCAACATGGAGACATGATTGATCAGAACCAAACAGTTTATCAGCTGCAGTTACAGTTACATCCCCAGCTCCATCACAGCTGGATGTTATATAAAAGTCTGGTGCATTTATTAAAGTCACATTCTTTTTAAATGTCAAATCCAGTTGTTTTTTTTTTAAATTTGGGAGATTGCAGTTTCACAGCAGGACATATGCAGTAGTGACGTTAGTGTGTGTTTGGATGAACAGCAGAACGGGACATCTCTGATCATTAAAGTAACTGAATACTGCAAAATAACGATGAAAACATAATTTACTGGAACATGCGTAGCTGTAGTTTGGTAAATTTTCATCACAGTTTTGAAATCATGATAAACTTTATCCCCTCTGTTGTGAAGGGTGGTCGCCCTAAAAACTAAAACTGTGTTTGTCTGTGCCCACCAGATTATTAGTAGCTTTTGCTGTCAAAAAATAATAAACCAAAGGATATCAGAGTGAGATTTCAGCATCATAGTGTGACTTTGACTCTGCCTGTCTGGAGCAGTGAGAGCTGGCTTCAGAGCTTGCCTGAAAATCTGCACATTTTTAGGATTTTTTCAGCCTCAAAGTAGTTCATTGGCAGATATCAGTACATTCAGCGGTACACAGCAAAGACTAATTCTTAACAGTTAATTCGGCGAGCATTGTTAAAAGAAATATAAAACGAGGCTCGTGTTGCAGCCTGCAGACTGACCCAATGTGTCCACGGAGACGTCATGCGATTAAATATCAAGATTACGTTTGTGTTCCATTTCCTGCTTTTGAACGTGAGCACAAAACCAAAACTAGTTCGCGAAAAAACAGCTTTACTTACTTTAATGTGTCGGATTTATCACTGAATAACTGAATACCTGCTTATTTCTACTTTTATTATCGTTATTACCTGTACGGTTTCTGGAAGGAAAACAACAATAACAACAACAACAACAACAACACACGGACTTCACACTAAAACTCTGCAAATGTGGATAAAACATACAGTCATTTATGAGCTTATTAATTGAATCATCTTGAAAGCAACACTTTCTTGCTTTAAAATACTACTTTTGTAATTTAGTTTCACTTTCGTCTGCGGTCTTAAAATAAATAAAAATAAAAAAATAAGTCCACAGTGAATGTTTGTCGTCAACTTTCACTGACAAAACCCGTAAAACAGCGTTTTTATGATATCTACATAATATATATATGGAATATAGATATAGAACAATATATAACGGAACACTAGATAGAAAAAGTCTCACCTGTGATTTATTTCTATACTTCTATAAAACATCACAGCTGAACGCAGTAAAGTGAAACAATTCGGAGCCAACGAACTTGTTCATTACAATAACGAATAAAAGAGCATTTACCTGCGAAAAACAGCAGCAGCACACCTGGATTCATGTCTGCAGCTCTTAGAGTCAGTTCAGGATTATCTGACTGAATGTGATCCAGCCTCCCCACGTGACTCAGCGCTGGAAATGATGTTATCTTTTGTCTACAGATGTGAATGAAAGTATTGTTGTTTTTTCATGGCTCTATATGCTCCACCAAAGTTAGAATTTAGCTGTTTTAAAAACTTTTTTCAACCAAAATAAAGTCACAGGTCAAATAAAAATCACTATTAATTAAAATGTGTCTGAATAATGTTGGGCTTAAAGAAGAAAAGCTGTTCAGGCATTAATGTTTGATTCAAGAAAAGCTCTTTAAGCATTAATGTTTGATTGGTGCTTCCAGGTTTCAGTGGTGTTCTGCTCCAGCTGTGCTTATCATTGCATATATCTGATAATAGCTTCAACACACACTGGCCTCTATGTTTTCCTTATACAACACCTTCAGTTTAGATGATTGTTGTTGTTGCTGTGTTATGGCTCCACCTGCCCTGTGTCATGAAAAATATATGCTGCTTCTACTGTCAGTGTAACAGAGGCTGTCATCCATCTGGATAACTAGATTTTAGATTTTCTCTCATTTTTTTTTCTATTTAGACAGTTTCACAACAGCACAGAACACCAATGAAGTGGATGTGCAACTCATTAACTCAGCAAAATACACTACCACAGTATAAAAGGCAGGAGGTAGTTTGCTTTTCGTCCAGTCACATGAATTACTGTGGGCCACAAAAACAGAGAAGTTCAAGAAAACTTATGTCTGTGTATCAAAAAGAATTAATATGCATTTGAATAACCAGATTTTGTTTAGGCTCATGAAGTACGTTTTTTGTTTTTGTTTTTTTACCTCAGTAACACCTGTTTCTCTATGTTTCTATCTCATATTCTTCTTCAGAATCAGATTTCACTTTGTTTTACTGTTGGGACAGAGTCTTGTGTCTGTATAGGTCTCGTGTCCTTTTAGTTACTTCCTGTTTAGTTTTAAATATGCCTTTCATTGTGAAATAGTCATGACACTTAATCTATTGATCCGTGTTCAGGGATGATTCTATAGAATTCTAAATGATTCCATAGAACTTTAAATGATTCCATAGAATTCTGACTGATTCTATAGAATTCTAAACACTGGGATTTTTTAGGGTTCTGTGGAATCATTTAGAATTCTAGAGATTTTTTTTTAGGGTTCTATGGAGTCATTTAGAATTCTATAGAATCATTTAGAATTCTATAGATTTTTATTAGGGTTCTATAGAATCATTTAGAATTCTATATAGTCACTCAAAATTCTATGGAATCATCTAGAATTTCTATAGAATTAGTTAAAGTTCTATGGAATTGCTTCGAGTTCTATAGAATTATTTAGAATTCTATGGAATCATTTAGAGTTCTATAGAATCGTTTCGAGTTCTATGGAATTATTTCAAATTCTATGGAATCATTTCGAATTTTATAGAAGTTTTTAGCGTTCTATAGAATCACTTGTGATATCACAGTGCATGTTGTGATGTCACGATGTATGTTATTGCGATGTCACAATGTGTGTTGTGATGTCAACGTGCATGTTATGTGACGTCAGTGTTAGTGACGTCACAGATTTACAAAAAAAACCCAAAAACTTTCTGTTAAAAAACTTTTACATTTTGTTTAACTTTTATTGCCAGTCATCCGTAGCAGGTCCAGTCCAGTAGGTGGTGGTTGGACACCAAAGAAGAAGAAGAAGATGGAGACGCAGCAGCACCAGAAGAAGAAGAAGAAGAAGAAGAATACAGTTGATACTGTATAAGTTCACTTCTACAGTTGAAACCAGAAGTTTACATACACTGTCTAAAAAGACATATAACCTTTTTTTTCTCACTGTCTGACATAAAATGTGACTAAACTTTTCCTGTTTTAGGCCAGTTAGGATGATCAAAATTCTTTCCTTTACAGTCTATGGTCTGGATCGTCAAATAAATAGTCCCAAAGCTGGTGTGTTGATGCCCTCTGGCGGGGGCAAGTGGGAGCAACAGTCCGTTTAACCAATTACGATGCTCATTACATTAAAGATCGTTTGTGGACAGTGCCTCACTCAGGCCAAAGTTTTTTTTTCTTTCTGAAAATGTGAGGCAAATTCAGTCAGTTATACGGAGGTCCCCTTCAAAGGGTACAAAAGTCTCAACATCAGGCTGTCACTTGAGTTGGAACTGCTCTTAAAGGTATTAAGAAACTTTGAAAGTGTGGATCTTGGAGAGCCTAAAGGTATATATCTTTTTTTCTCATGTGTGCACACAATTTTTATTGTGATCTACAAGAAAATAAGTCATGTCCCCAGGATGCAAAAACAAATCGCCCTGAGATCTAAACTGGGGAGGCCTGAGGGATCTTGATGGTCTTTTTTCATATGAGTTTTTAATGTATTTATAATTAAATTTTGCACAAAAATGCTTTCTATGCTCTTGGAAAACAAACCGCCAACAGCTTCAGTAGCCGATAAAAGCCCCAGAGTGAGACCTCCTGTCTTCTCCCTGCTCAGGCTGACGCTGGTGCTTAGAGGCTGCTGTGTGCACGCTGGCTGCTGCACGTGTCTCTTGTTTAGTTCGGTAATGTCCTGATACAAAGTGTTCAACTATGGCCAAGAATAAGAAGAACAACATGAACGAGTCCGGGAAGCAAGCAGGCAAAGCTGGACAACAGCCAAGGTAACGCCGAGAAGCTAACGTGTAAAAGGAAAGGTGCTACTTCAGCTAGCTAGCTAGCTAGCAACACGGGCTAGTTGTTATTAGTGACTTTGGAGCTCTCAGAGCCAGACTCAGCTCGTTAGAAGTGGTGAGGAAATGTGCCTGTCATCAAATGTATTCAAAAGCTTACCTTTATTCACCTTACCCATCGTTTCTGTACTGCTGTGTGTCTGAACTTTAATGACAGGAAGCTGAGAGGAGAGGGTAAAAATAAGAAGGCTAAACAAGAGGACAAAACCAAGAAGGCTAAACAAGAGGACCACCTCGAACACATCCCCTTCAAGCTCCGAGAGATAATCAAGAGCAAAGACAGGATGAAAACAGGATCCAAAAAGTCCAAAAAGCTAAAAGCGGGTGAGTATAGACACGTTTCTACATGACTTTGTATGCTGTTGTGATTTTGTTTCTAACTAGTAAAATAAACTCCTGCCTCTTTAGCCATTTTACACAACAGTAAGCCGGAGGATGCCCAGGACGGAGACATCCCTGTCCCACACTTCAAGAGGAAAAAGAAGGAGAGTGTGAAAGCATACTTGCAGCGAATGAACAATGAGGCAAAACACGTCCTCTTCCTCACCAAGAACCAAGTGGACAGAAAGCCGGAGCTGGATGCAGACAAACAAGAGAAACCTGCAGGCAAGGGCAAGTCTGACAAGAAGAAGGAGTGAGTACATGTTGACCTCCAGCCAAAGCCCAGCTTCATAAACACGTTGCTTGTGGCACACATATTTCCTTTTAAGTCTGAATGCACAAGTCTTTTCTTTTAAAACATGTTGAGACAATAATATGCAGCTTTTATAGTTTCCAAGATGCTTAACACTAAAGATAGAAATGATAAAACTCAGAATGCAGTTTGAATGACAGAAAAAAGTACAGTAAAGTAGTGGTACAATTGATTCTTGGATTATACATATAATACTTCCGTGTTTTGTTTTTTTTGTCTTTGTGCTCTTGCTACAGGCACGATAAATTGAGATTGCAGAAGCTTCATCAGAAAAAGTTGGACAGACAAGAGACCAAAATGGAGAAAGAGATGTTTGTAGGTAAGGCATGCATGTTTTTCTCTGGATTATTTTCCTTATCAAAGGATAAAAGGTAACCAGCAATTCAGCTGGATTGGCCAAAAATTGTGCTGCGTTTAAGTTTCATTGTGTTTCACAGTGTTTGCAACTGCAAGCAGACAGTTGTGGGTCAGATTTTGTCAGACAGGCGTATTGTTCTTGGGCCTTTCCAGTGAATTTTACACCAGCAGTATCAGGACAATATTTTCAAAAATAATTTGGAGTCTGTGAATTTGCTGTAGTTGTCAAAATGGCATTTGGGGGAAAGTCAGAAGACGAAGCAATTGGCACTGACAATTAACATCCCACAGTGTTCCTTCTCATGCTAGCATTGTCTTCAGCAGAAAAGCCAGTTGAGCTGCTCCAAAGGGCTAATAATTTAGAATTAAGGCAGCTGAACATGTCGAACTTAAATTATCATAAAGATATTTATGTACTCAAATGTTGCTTTTTGTTTTGTAGACACTGTTCCTTTTGGTGAAGTTTCAATGGCTCCACCATCTTTCAGCGCCAAACCCAGGAAAGCTCAGCTCAAACCTCAGGTAACCATGCTATGCAGTGAGTATATCACATCGCATCACTCCCAGTGTTAAGCGATTAACTGTGGCTTTTCTTGTCCATCTATATTCTCCAGAAGGCAGCAAAAGAGCTGCTTCTCAACTCTCTGCTGGGCCACACTGCAGCCTCCACAGCTAAGCCCTCCATGGCCAGACAGAGGATCATGGAGGAGGAGAGGCTGCGAGCAGTGGAGGCCTACCGTCTACTCAAGAAACAGAAACAGCAGCAGCATGAGGCCAGGACTGCTAATGTGGAAAAACTCAAGAACCCTCAGTGACTTCTAATGCCACTAAAGTGAAGGAACGATTACCGAGCTGCAGTCATCACCAGTGACTGCAGTGATGTTCACAAACTGACTTGATCATCACCGGCAGACTGTGTGTGTGTTATGAAATTTTGGAACTTTTGTGGGGAGCTTTCCACAAATGTGCTAGCAATCGGGGAAAGACACAAACATTTGTATTCACAAGTCACTGCATGAGGTAAGTAGCAAACCACATTCACCTGCTACTTGCGTGTTCATAAGAGGACAGGACATTTTCATGTTTCTCTTGAAGTGCCTTCTGAAACATGATCACACACAACTACGGGCAGGTAGCGTTTGATGACTACTCATCCCTGTAACTGTGTTGGATGTTCCGTGGCAAGCATTTACATTATGTAAATGTTGAATTTGGGATGTGATGGACATTAAAATTAGGGTTATGTCAAGGAAAAGAGAAACCCACCTGTGCTTCCACTAGATGGCAGTCCTTGTGTAGAAAGTTGGTTTTATGCTGTTAGTGTGGAGCAGACTGAACATCCCCAATAAAACGTATTGTTAGTGACACATCGTGCCATATTATACATGAAACTCTATTGCTGATTGATGTTTTGTTTTTTAACCACATGTCAGTCTCTATTCAATGAGTGTAAATGACAATTTACATACTAAATGTAAAGAAATTAGGGGGAAAAAAAAACGTATTTATTAGCTGTTGTTGATTATCGCACATGGTCCTCATCAGAAGACGGTTTTCCAAGTTGTCTCATTTTTCCTGATTTTCCCTTTTAATTAATATGAACTTTTTATTCATATTGCCTGAAAAACTGAAGTTGAACGTTCATTCTTGACTGGAGATAATGAGACAGCGACCTGTATAGCCACCACCTGGCTTGTTTAGTAGCTTTACAGAGTTTTCAGCCACATGTTCATCGTCTGATTGTGTTTTCCTGGCTGATGTTTTCAAGATCCCAAAAAAACTTTTACCTCAGCAACAAGAATAAACATCTGAAATTTTGGCAATTTTATTTTTTAAAATGGTCAGATCATATTTCCGTTTGTGCCTCTCGGAGAGCCTGAGTCTTGGGATAAATAAATCACATTAGCCTTGTTGAATGCGGAACACTTATTAGAGCCTGGCACAGCTATTTACTTTTGTAATCCCTAAAAGGTTTACCCTCATGAACAAGGCCTTTGTTACATATTGGTCTCTGAGACAAACCGTACCAATGCAGATGTGCTGTTTGACAACTTAATCATTCAAAGAAGCCTGCATCTATAAAACAAACATTATGTTGTTAATGTTTCTGCAATAGTGATCAACTGAACGATATCAGCAGATGGTATTACCTTGTAATAATCGTCTGGTCTGCGAGTTCAGTCATTTCTATTTAATCAGCCTGACTGGTAAAACCCTCAGTCTTTTTTTTTTTTCATCTGTGTTTGTCCTCTGAGGGTTGTCACAGTGACAAGGAAATGTATTAAGTGGGAACAGCTGCTGGTGATTGGGAGAGCTGACTCCCCTGAGCTCAGCACCTCCACCATTGGTCATGTAACCACCTGTCTGCAAGACATCGATTCAGACTATAGGGGCAAAGATGCTGCTTTTGACTTCAGCTCATGCAATAGACCAGGAGTTTCTATGTATTACACTCAAAATGTAATGAGAAATGCCTTTTCTGCAGAGTGACACCGTACCAGTTGCCCAGTATGAGATGAGCAACGCTCTGCTGGGACAGCCTCTGTTTTCTGTCAGTTTAAAGCTAACTGGGTCAGTGATCTTAATACTTACCAAGCAAAGAAGCAGGATTTATTGGAAATAAAAATAAATGATGTCTGAATTCTCTTTTTGTTTAAATCTGGATACAACTTTTCCTTTGTTTGCCATCAGCTTGTTTTCAAGGTGCACTGCCTACCTGCATGTGTTTTTGCAAAGGGATCAAAGGCTGAGGCATGACAAAACACAACCTCAACATTTGTGCACACGTCCTGTAGTACAATTCTGTGCTGTCTGATTTCCAGTTTGTGAGCAATTTCTTTTCTAAGCAAGTGCTCATGGCTGCTGTCAGTACAGGATGGTGGGACTAATTAGGAGAGAGCCGATTGTGCCTGCTGCTGCTGCTGCTAGGCAGCCACAGCTCACTTTGAAGCTCTTTAAAGTGTGTGTGTGTGTGTGTGTTTGACAAATTATATGTAAATGATTTTAAGAGAAGGAGGAGAACTCGGTGTTAGTCAAAACAGTTGTAAACGCTAATTTGTTTAAAACTTTTTTTTTTGTTTACATGGACTACATATGTAAGAACATGCACTCAGTAGTTATAGGATTACTACAGCCCTACATTTAAACAAAGCATGTCACATTGATTGTTAGATTTTGCTATTTGGGTCCAGCAACATCACAACAACATCAGTCAGTACCACCCAAAATAGTTTTCTTCTTCCTTGTAGCAGTATAAAGCCATAGATCACAGTAGGAGGGCCAGTCCCAGCATGCGGCACCTCCAGGTGAAACTTATGTAAATGACTGCTCGGTGCAGCGTGCGTGGTAATCGTTGTGACACTTCCTCTTTCAGTATCCCACATTGCTCTCCTTATGAGCTTTATTATCCAAAGAGCCAACAGCCGCACAGGATTTACATAACCTTTATAGGTTTAATAACTTATACCTTAACATAACATTACACTTTTAAAAATCCAAAATACTACAAAATCATATGGCTTTCAGAGAATCACAACATAATTTCACAAGTGAACAAAGCATGTTACGTAGTTTTGAACAAATAACAGGCAGCAGATTTCTGTGGATAAAAAGAATCGTATATAGTCACACTTTCGACTAAGTTTATTTTTACTTTACACTGCACACAACTGAGGCTAGTCTGTTATATAAATTCTCTGGATTGGATTCTTGTCTACTGTTTGTCCGTCATCAACCTACCTTTAGTAACGTGACCTAGAAGTTAAATACATTGCTTAACTTCGGATTTAGATTTTTAAAAAATCAGAACAACAAAAACAGAAAAGTTTTTGGTCTTTCTCATAGCTAGAAGGTAAGCAGAGCCACAACATAGCCTCAGGATTATTCCATCTCAAATCGTCCAACTCCTAGAACAAATTCTGCTCAACCATCTCTGATTGGCCTCATATTTTTATAGCTTATTAAAACACACACACATATATATGCTAGGTAGTTGTTACATTTTAGTTTGATAGAATAAGTAATTCCTGACATACCTTTTTTGTGTGGTGATGTGTGCCTAAAAATGAGACTTTTCTTGATCCTTCCATTTTCCATTCCAGTTCATTTCACCCATAATCACAGACGACTTGACCTGCTTGTCCGGTATTGCAGATTCTTAATAAGATTTCTAAATCTAAATCACCTAATATTTTCACAAATCCATCCCATCCATTATCAATACACCGCTTAATCCTCATTAGGGTCACGGGGGGCCTGGAGCATATCCCAGCCAACTTAGGGCGAAGGCAGGGGACACCCTGGACAGGTCACCAGTCCATCGCTGGGCCACACTTAGAGACAGACAACCAAGCACACCCACATTCACACCTACGGATAATTTAGAATCACCAATTAACCTCAGCATGTTTTTGGACCTTGTGGGAGGAAGCCGTAGAACCCAGAGAGAACCCACGCTGCACGGGGAGAACATGCAAACTCCACGCAGGGATGCGAACCGGCAACCTTCTTGCTGCGAGGCAACAGTGCTAACCAACTGCGCCACCTTGCAGCCCCTCATTTTAATTATCCTCATAAAAAAGTTTAAACTAAATCGGAGACAGCCGAGCAGAAGGCCCCTGATGATTTGAGATGGAATAAACCCGTTAGATGTCGTCCCATCTCCGCTGTTTGTCAGTTATTACAATCTTGTATGTGCAACACTTGGCCCTACAGTATCAGAGGAATGTAGTAAAAGAAGTAGTTTGTGAGAGGAACTTGGTCACATTACTACAAATTGCTGTAGATTCAATTGGTATTGCTATTTTAAGTATCTTGACAAGGAAGAGAAATTGTGACGTAAAACAGCTGATACTAGGAACTCTTGAGAACAAACCCCCAGTCGATATTTATTTCACTGCTGTAACAACCGAGTGTGTAGGTGACAAGGTGCTCTTGACTCAGTCTGCCAGCCTCTGACAGTCCTTATGGTGCTAAGGACTCAACTGAACGAGTCAGGGAGCTGCTACTTCCTGGATTCAGAGACGGGGGTGTTGTTCGAAGCATTATCGTGTCTTGGTCCATCTGTAGGAGCATGCATACAAGTGATTATTTCAGATGGGAGGTAAAGAGGAGCTGTTTCGTGGTGTAAAACAGCATTACCACACTCACCTTTGTCAGACCTTTGGCAATCAAGGCTAGTTCGGTGGGCTGGTATACACAACTTCGCAACTGACCATTGTAAGCCCCATATGGAGACACCGGCTTTGTTGGTACTGGTAAACAGATGGTGAGGGTAACAAAAAAAAAGGTCATTGTTTGGTTAATTATTAGATAACGTTTTTGGTTTTAGATCACACTTAGCATAAGGTCTATATCAAAATAGATATGAAAAACTGAAATATAACAAAGGATGCCTGGACAATCACACTGTAGTATCTATTATCCCCTTTAAATATGTGATAGTGTATGTACATGGTCACAGTATACACTGACAACAATATAAAGATGTGTGATAAATTAAAACAGAACTTGTGGCCCCTAAAGTGAGGGGTTCTGGTGGCTCTGGTTTGCTGTGGGAAGCATTTTGCTGACATGGTTTGGGTCCAACTTGTCCATGTGGTGGAAGAGGTCACTGCAAATCATTACAAAGTTGTTGCAATGCTCTCATACATGGAGCACAAGAGGTGACTGAATGGTTGGATGAAAATGATGTGAATCACATGCTATGGGCTTTGCAGTCACCAGATCTCAACTCAGTTTAACACCTATGGGAGATGTGTTGAACATTATCAAAACTACAAATGAGGGACTATTTTTTGGATAAAAGGTGTTGCATCACTCCAGCAGAATTCCAGAGACTAAGAGCATCAATGTCTTGGACCATTGAAGTTGTACTGGTGGTACAAGGCGGCCTTAACAAGACACTTTATTTGCCTTTATTTGTCGCCCCCTTCTTTATCTGCAGTAGGCTAACATTGGTTGATATACTCATTGAGGCCCTGCACTGAAAACCTGCTCAGTAAGCCTGTGTTTGGGGTGTACTGACAACATAAGTGCTGTTTCCAAGGAAATAAATGTCATCATTTACTGACTCGACTGCAATATGGTGTTTGTTGTTTTCAAGTAAGTGACAAATGTAATTGCATCTTGTCATAATATGAGCCAAAGGCACAACACAGAGTAAGCAGATGAGATTTCTGTTTCTCTAATAAGGAGACCCTGGATGAATAGAAACCATATCTTGAGGTTCTGAACAATGATTATATTGTTTTGTCCCTGCAGTAAACAGTCTGACCTCCATGCAACTTGCTATTCACGTGTATTTCGATAATATCCTCGGCCACAAGATCAAGACCATATTTAGAAGCTGACAAACAGCTACTTTGTCAGAAATAATAATCTATCAGTATCAAACTTTATCTTTTGATAAGGCGCCATAACAAGGTCTAGTGCCGCCACTATTGTCAGAAGTTTCCTTACATATTTATACATGCATCAATCCAATCTGCTTGGTTGATTCAGTTTGAGCTTTGATATTGAGAATTCAGCACCAATCTGATTAAGTTGAATGCAATTTCTCTTGTCATTGCTAGATTAGTATTGATAAACATTATAATGTGCTATGCTGTACCAGTTGGAGGCTCGTCCATAGAAAAGGCTTTGTTCTCCATGTACACGTTCTGCTGGGTTGGCTCCGGCTCCTTAATGATGGTGTCATACACCAGACTCCTGGCAGGGTAGACGTCCCCATCATGGGGCTGCTCCTGGTCAGGGTCCTCCTGTGTCAGCAAGCAGATTTCCGGGATTGTGTAGAGAAAGAGGAACACCCAGGCATTTGACACCATGCCTACAGCCAGAGTAGGATCATCCCAACTGGGACTCCCGACCACTTGGTTCCCGTGGATGTACATGACAATCCAAGTTACCCAGATAGCGATGGTGAGGAGCCCTGTGACTAGAATGAATGATCCATCTCGGCGCCACTGCTTATGTTTGTGTGTTAGTGAGGGTACGGCCATGAGCACTACAGCTAGCAGCAGAACCATGACATAGATGAGAGCCATCACAAAGTCCTGATTGGCAATGCTGCAGGAAATATCAGAGGCAATGAGCCCTCTGGGTGGGCTCCTGACCACAGTGATGATAAGCCATTCAGCATTGATGATCACCTCGACCAGCCAGAGACCCAGAGCTCCCAGGCATAGCATCCAGCTCCTCGGCCCCCGGCCTCTCCGTTGCAGCAGGGCAAGCCACAGCCCATGCATCACCAGGCAGGCGAGACACCCCGAGAACAGTACTCCAAACAGGAACCTTCGAGCAGCACAGCTGGTGGAGTGCCGGCCCACAATGAAGGCAAAAGTAAGTCCAAAGAGTCCCAATGTAAAGATTAAGATGCTGGCCTGCAGGGCCACCATAGCCTTTCTCTTTTTGTCTGTCACATATGGTAGGCAGGCCATGAGAATGACAAACAGGACAAAGGAAGTCACCACACCAGCGGCGGCAACGGCTTCCACCACAACCCCCCACACGGTGGTCAGGTCACACAGGTTGTAGTAGATGGAGCTGATGCTGGAGCCACATCCTTTTGGCGCGCTAGTAGGGTTCATTGCTTCACTGCAAATTTTTGTTTAAATTCTGCAAGAAAGAATATTGAGATTATTCAAACATGTATGCAAAGCTGTAGTTACGAATTGTACTATTTGCATCAGGAACTACTAAAACAAGACTAACTACTCACTTTGCATGCACCTGATGGCAAAATATATTTCCCTGGATCTTTTCTGTGCCACACCACAGTAAATGAGCAATAGCACACACATACTGTCACAACCCAGTGGAGTTTCACCACAAAACTGGTCTCAGTTGTGAGGAATCTGAATTTGTAATACAAATGCAACCTATTAAAATAGATTAATTTAAGTCACTGAAGAATCTATAATTGTGTCGCCTGCTTTAATTATTAAATGGAGTCATTCTACAGTGACTTTTAGTCACAGCTCAGCCTTGCCTTCCAGGACTATCCATCCAATTAGTAGAAGTGTTATTTCAACATTTCATCATGGGACATTATGAGTATTCCCACCCAGCACCCCTGCTCCAGCAGATGTAGTGCCGTCATTCAGCAATCAAATGTCATTTCATGAAAGAATAAATTGTATTATGCTATTCTAAGCTAAAGTGTAAAATATTTTATATTTTACAGATTTTTGTCAAATTACAGTAAATACTAAAATCACAGCAAATACATGTTAATTTACATGTTAACTTAAAAACGGACATAAAATCTAAATTAGAAATTGAATATGAATTTTAATTTGTTCTTTCATCATGTATGACTGTACAGCTGCACTATTTTTACGGTATTTAAATCATCATTTTACAGATTTTCTTAGTTTTGTTACATTACAGATAAAATTAAGTACAATTTTTTTTTTTTTTTTAAGTATTAGTTTGCAGATTAACCCTAAAAATAGGCCAAACATGTAAATATTGTCCACATCAAAAATCTGTATTTTTGCAACTGGATTTATTTATTTATTTCTTTGTTTAACAATGTATGACCGTATACTTACACTATTTTACATATTTAAATCAGCAAAAATATATAAAAAAATTTTACAAATATTTGCTGTAAAATGTATATTGAGGATTAAAAATTGTAAATATTTTTTTAACTCTTATTTTAAGGACTTTCCCTTTTATTGTTAAGTTATAGCTAATATCTAGTACAATCACAGGAGAAAAGTGTTCGTTTGCAGATGAACACAAGAAAACAGGCCAAAACTGCAAATAATCTGTCTTCTTACAAAGAACAAGAACAAGTTTCCACAAAGTTGAACTGTTTTCCTTCACTTAAATCATCTCAATAATGTTATTATCTTACATTTTCAAAATTTTTGAAATTACAGTAGTTCATTTCTTTTTCTTTCTTTTTTTGTTGTTGTTGTTTTGCAGACAGTGTACATGCTAGTTTTACAATAAAATGGCTCACTGTCACAACAAAAACTGTTGGGATCAGGACGATGAGGTTTACATTATGCTCACTATGACCTAAACAACAGACACAGTGAGACAGAAGGTGTAATTTCTGCAGTTTTAGTGTGATGTGAGCGATCAAGGCTGTGGAGGTTTCTTACCGGCACTGACTCTGACAGCAGCTCTGGCCACGTCTTCAACAGGTGATCAGTTAGATTTTCTTCGCTGAGGATAACAGACTTAAGTGACCAAAGTTGCTTGGCTTGATTTGCGTTTTACCAACCTCCTAGCCGATGAGTCGATGAAGTGCCTACTTATTTGGATCCACCAGTTTGTTGGAGGGTTTTTTTTCCGGACAGGATCCACTTTTCCTTCTCTGTTATTCATCCATGTCGGAGTCAGTTCAGTCCTATCAGAGTAGCTGGTCCCTCGGCTATAAATGTAATAGCCTGCTTTTTCTAAACACTCAGCTCAAAGCGCTCTGCCCCTTTCTCCAACCTCGGTGGTGTCTGCAGCTTTGCATATTCTGTGAGATTAGCGCCCGGCCTACTTATTTGTTTCAGGCAGCTTACATCCAAACAAAGGGGCCACTCACCTCTCCAGCGAGATATATGGGCCCTGCACTTGTATTCAGAGTGTGCACCATGGTCTGACCTGGGACCTGTTAGACATGCAAGGACACTGATAATTGATGATGAATGACTTTCACTGGTTCAGTGATTACATCTTAAGGTGCTTTTGAAATACACAATGATCAGCTGCAGCAGGCTGCTTCTTCTTTTATTTCTTCCCCCAACTTTGCAGAAGTCTCACATAAAGTTTAAGAATAATCCTGTTTTAATGCAAGACATTAAGCACGCCCTTAAGAATTAAATGAATGATGAGCATCTGCAATCAATTCATAATTGCTGGCTCTCTTCTACAGATTTCAGAGCCAGCCGTCATGAACAGGAGACTGAGCATCCAGTTAGCAGAGCCACCTGGTGGAAAACACTGTTGCAGGAGAGGCTGAGTCCTGTGTTTTTTTTTCAAGTTAAACGCAGTCAAATTAGATTATGCAACAAAATAGATGCTGTTATTGATCTTTTGCAGGACATGTCACTTAATAATCATATGAGAAATAAGAACATTAACTAAAGCTACTGATTTGAAGCTTTTAGATCGTCTCTTTTCTTTTAACTGAATAGATATTTACACATCTGATCATTTCTGAATTACTGAGGTAAATAGAAAACAATGGATCAATGCTTATATTTTTATCAACCCTAAAGTGGAAATGATGCAACTTTATGTAATATTTTTGTGTTTTGCACTATTGACTGTGTGTAGATGTGTCAACACAATAGTTTACTGTCAGATTAGAATAACAGCAGAATTTGGTCTCCAGAGGGAAACGAAGATTATTTTTAACTCCGTCTTTTGCTTCTTTTTTTTTTCTTCATGCTCTTCATTTGTTTGTGATTTCGTTTGTTTTTATTAACAAAGCCACAAACTGTCTCTTACTTGAGTAAATGTAAAAATGTGAGCATGTTTTCAGTGACTTTTGGTTGCTTTCTTTCTTCTTCTTTTTTTTTTTAGAAATTGATCGTACAAGTTGCCGTCCTGTTTAGCTTCGGTTTAGGTTTTTATACTATTTTAATTTGTTTTACAAATGGATTTTAAAAGTCTTTATCCTGTTTTGCTTTTTGCACAGATTTTTTCCTGTGACTGATAACAAGTCTGGCGCTTTGGTAACTTTTAAACATGCTTCATAAATGAACCTGCTTTGATTTGATTTGATTTGATTTGAATCAGAACAAAAGCTGTGCCACAAATGAATACTTGCTAAATGGGATCTACCTAATATTCCATCACTGACATTCACTGGCACATCGCTTATGCACTTGTGATGTTTAGAGGAATAATCTGTAGTTAGAATTCAGTGTGAGACAAAATAGAATGCAACATTTTTTTCATATTTCATGACGTTTTATGCTCCCTTTGCTTTTCCTTAGAAACATTTTGCACATTTGCATGCATGTATGTGCCATACATATGTCGTGCATTTCGAGTTTCGGAGACCTGGCTAACTGGTGCATCCCCTTTGGGTCCAACACAAGAGTAAGGTCATGCAGGACACCTTCCTGAAGCTAGCTCTGGCATTCAGCCTGCACTAAACGTACTGTTTATACTGCGTGATGGAGCCCCCTGTGGTGCATTGATTCTTCAATGGATCTCATCCCGAGGGGTGCTCTCACAAACCCAGCAGCTTGTCAATCCATCCCTTTGCATTGCGGTCCTGTTAGATTCTTAATAGGAAGTTAAATCAAAGGAGAAAGCAATGTGACCTGAATGAAGGACATGTCCTTTTCAGATGCACGCACAACGAGAGCTTTGGGTTTACTCTGTTGTAGCTAACAGTGGCCTTAATTGTGCTAGCATGAGGCAATTCATTGAACTGGTAAACCAATCTAAACCCAAATATAGAAAATGCTATTCTATATATTCAGGTAGATCAGCATGTGGACACCAGTCTCATTGTTATTCATCCATATACACTCATGAATGTTATTTATGTGCATCTCTGTCCGCCGTCTCACACAGATATTGCACAGAAAGAAGATGCCACCACATCCTGTGCCTTGTCTTGTCCACTTTGTTGCAGCAGGCTTCATTAGGGCGCCTCAGCAGCACTGCTCTCCTTCGAGAATGTGTCAGGTTATTCATAGCTGTGGCTCAGGTTGGGGTCTCACAGGACATCTCTTCTCCTGCATGTTTTTTTTTTCTCAGCCTGGCAGCCTTCAGGGCTTCACCACAACCTATTTCCCCCAAAATGATGTCTTTCCCTGTCTTTCTCAAAGTAGGTAGATTGCGATCTATTTTAAACACGTTCATCACATTGCTCCATGCTAGTCTAAATACTGTGAGCGTACTAATGGCCAAGTCAGATGCATTGATTTTTTTTTTTTTTTTTTTACAGTATCAGATCTATACCTACTTTATAATTTGAAGAAGATTTTAACAGGGATCTCAGTATTGACTGACCCGTCTCTGCCTGACAGATCAATGGTAGCCGAGTGGTAAATAAAGGCTAATTTCTATGGTACTGTAAACATCTAATTGAGCCCCTGAGGCTATGACCACGAGCATTATGTGCTGTTGTCATGGCTGCTGTTTCACTTTGAAACACACTTTTGTTGTATCCCAGTTACTGTATGCTATTCTAGGATGTTGGATTCTCTTGTGTCATGTGGCTGTAGACCCCACTTTGAGTCATTATATCAGTTTATATTGATTATTATAGCTTGGAGGTTAGTATGTTCCCTGCAAGTGGCAGACCATTAACTCCACATCCTGCTGGAAATCGTATCGCACACATTTATTAAGGTCCTTCGCACTGTGCAAGGTTTGTGATGCAAAAGAGTGTACCTAAAAATAGCTTTACATTTACTCAACGACGCATTAGGAAATCACATTTAAGCTTATTTTACATGGATGTTATCTAAATATGTTTATTTTGACATCAGTAAACTCTGTGGGGCTACATAAAATCCTGATTGGCACTTGAGTTTGACGGACAAAGCTAGCCTCACATTGATGAGCAGACCCAGCACCAATGAAATTATCTTCACATTAGTGAGATTAACATGCCATCAAGTAAATAATTGCACTCAGCTGAAAAACTGCCCTATAAATGAATTATGAAATTTGATTGACTGCAGTTGGTCACACATATTAGAGTCTCAATTACTCTTGGGAGATTGTCTCAATGGCAACCAGTGGCAATTAACTGACTAATTATATGGCGCTGATTGTACTTAACTTAGGTGTCACAAACCAAAAAAAAATCAGCGCAGAGCTCTGCTGCATTTTGAGTTCCATTAAAATGTGAAACTGTGTTATTATTGATTCTTAATAGTGCCTAACCTCCACTGACTTTTAAAGTAAAAAAACATTAAGCTGAGTCCTTGGCTGGCCCGGTGCCACTGATCAATGCCATGTAACATCCAAAAGGGAGAAATTCAAAATCAAAGCTGTCGCTATAGCAACGCCCCTGCCAGATTCCACCAATCAATGGAGTCTGTGGGGTTGTGAGATGCGCCAGGGAAAGGCCAGCGTCCTACATAAAGAGTCCAGGACAGGGAGCCGGGCAGCACACGGGGCAACACACCTTTCTGCACGCATACGACAAAGGCACCAGCAGCAAGAAGAAGGGTCAGGAGAAGAGTGGCAAACAGAAAGGAAGACAAGGGGGAAAGGACAAAGGAAGAGAAGCAGGGAATAACTGAGAAGATATGGTACGCTCATGTGAACAAGAGATTCCTGCCTGGGTCTATGTGGGCACCCTGCTCTTCTTCATCCACTTCCACTCTGTCACAGTTAGCGGAGGTAAGATTTCAAATGATATTAGTAGTAAAAAAAATTTTGCTACTAAAGATTATTTTTTACTTTTACATCTTTCCTTAAAATCCTGTGTTTTAAGGGAAGCTGTATTGTTCTATTTCAGTCCAGCTTCCCCCATGCCGTTAGTGGGTGGTAGGGCACAGCATGAATGTGTGGCTCGTGCCCAGCCTCAGGGCAAAAGATGGGTATTTATCTGTTCCACTCATCCCGTCCTCATCTGTTTGTCTGCTGGGTGCAGGGAAAGACGGGCAAGTCCATTTGCTGCTTGGCTTTCTTCCAGCTCAGTAATACAGCACAGTACAAGTGCTGGGGGAAAGCTTTTTCTTACTCCTTAAAAGAAAATCTGACTTTGATTTTGACTCAGCCACTGAAGGCCACATAACGCTGCTGTTAGATTGGACTCATTCAATCTTTTATATTATAAGGGATATGTACAAAATGTTTTATGTAATGTTTTCAGCTCCTCTGAGCTTGCTGAAATATTCTTTATTTCTAAGTTTTCCTTGTCTATGCTTTGATTTGAATATCTTAGATGTTGTCTTTATTCAAACAGAATCTGACAAAAAGTGTTACAAATTGAAATACAAGATACAATATATACGTTTTCCCCCTGTTACAGTGAGTTTGGTGATTTTTCAATTGGGAACACTGTGCCAGAATCATTTGTCAATACACCCCCTATACACTCCTCTGTGCTAAGCTGGCCCAGGGTGCTGGCTGGCTAATTGGAAAAAGGTTACTTTGAAGTGGGGGCACTTGATTGTGGTGGAGAAATGAAGACTGTGCGGCATCCCAGGGAGCCAAGTGCGCTCCCCCTGTGTCTCATTAAACCCCTAGTACCAGGCCAACAAGGCTGCTGATGGCTGTGGCAGAGCAGAATGGAAACAGCGACTTGCCGTGCTGAGTCTTTCATGTGTGATTCTCTAGTACGTGCCACTTGTAGTTATGCTCGAGAGGGCCCATAGAAGCAGCCATCTGCAATGGCGCTGCAAACTCAGGATTCTTTTCTGTGCACCTGGTATCTGAGGTTTTCTGAGTCAGCCACCTGGCTTGATGCTCTTTTTCCTCTATTAATTGATAGCAGAAGAAGACAAGGAAGTGCAAGATGGCCTTTTTTTTTTTTTTATATCCCTAACACATACTCTCAGTTGTGGTTCAGATGGAGGGTTTGGATGTGATTTTCCAGTTCTTGCTGTGTCAAATGTGATTAAAGCTGTAGAAAAAAAGGTGCACATGAAAAGCAGCGTGAGGTTGAACACAGAGAATGCGACTGAATATGAGGTACTATCCAAATTCAGGCGTGAATGAAATGATCATAAAATTTTCTAAAGCAATTTTTTTTTTCCTGCATCTAAATAGAGACGGTTGTGTTTCTGACAAGTCTCCACCATCTTGCACTATTTTTTCCCTCAGCTGCCCTGAAGCCAGAGGCAGCAACAGACAATGTTGCGACGGTGCTCAACCACTCCATGAGTTTGGTGAATCGTATGGAGACGCTGCTAACAATGGGTAACGGCAGCGATGTGACTCTCCGGGTGCAGACCATCAACACAGACGAGGTGAAGGTGATCCAGGCCCACAGCTTGGTTCTCACCCTGCAGAGTGACGTGTTTGAGGAACTGCTGCTCACCCGCAACAGCAGCGCTTTGGTTTTGAGGGAGACGCCCGAGTGTGCAGCTGTCTTCGACAAGTTTGTCAGGTGAGACTGACTGTAGGATGTAACCATTTGTTTCCAGTTAATTGCTCAAATCAAACGAACGCATTCATGAAACTTTGAAGCTGGTTTAAGTTGCTGTTGTGTTTTCACCAAGTCAAAAGTTGGAGACCTCCACTCTCCATTATGCCTCTTTCCGTTCTATTTGGAGAAGTGAAAAGCTCCATCTTGTGAAATATTCTAAAATTACACTTGCTGTTTGAGGCTTACAGTCTAAAAGCAGAGAGTGTGGGCTTTTCAGTGACTCAAATGTGAGGAGAAAAAGCACTCAGGATATAGTATGCCTTGCAGAAATATTGTTCTATCTAACAATGCTTTCAAAAATTTTCTATTGCAGGTATCTGTACTGTGGTGATATCTCAGTGCGGCTAGATCAGGCTATTTCTCTGCATAAGCTGGCCAGCAAGTATCATGTGTGGGGCTTGCAGCAGGGTTTGACCCAGTATATGACTCAACATCTCTCCAGTGATTCACCTACAGGCCATGTAGTTGGTTGGTACAACTATGCACTACAAATTGGAGACATGACCCTTCGGGACAGCTGTCTGCAGTACCTGTCCTGGAACCTGTCTTCGGTGCTGCAGAGCGGAGAATGGGGCTCTATCAGTGAAGACCTGCTCCTCTCCTTGCTCCAGCGCTCTGACCTCATTCTGCAAAGTGAGCTGGAGCTCTACGAGGCACTGGAGGGCTGGATTAGCCAGAACCAGCCTGTCAGTACGACGGTGGAGAGCGCCCTCAGGGCTGTTCGATACGGCATGATCCCCCCTCAGCACCTCTTCCGTCTTCAGAAGCAATCAGCCCTGATGCAGAAGTATTACGAGACGATCCGTGATCTTCTCTATCTGGCTTTCCAATTCCACTCTGCCTCACCTATACAACTGGCCAAGTACTTTGATGTCAACTGCAGCATTTTCACTCCCCGTAACTACCTGTCCTCCTCCTGGGGTTCCCCTTGGGTCATCAATAACCCCACCCGTGATGACCGCAGTTTCAGCTTCCAGACCCAGCTTGGGCCCAGCGGTCATGACTCCAGTAAGAGAGTGACCTGGAACGCCCTGTTCTCCCCTCGCTGGCTCCCCCTCAGCGCCAGGTCCACCTACACTGAACTGGGTGCCATGCAGCCCACCCGCACAGAGGGAGGCCGACCTCGCATTATTGTTACACCGGCCACTTCCAGCCCAGACTTTGCTGGTGTGAGTTTCCAGAAGACGGTAATTGTGATGGCAAGACAGCAAGGAAAAGTGGTGGTTCGCCATGTCTACAACTTCCACCAAAGTACAGAGGAAGCCGGGGATTTCCTGGTGGATGCCGACCTGCAGCGCCGTGCATCAGAATATCTAATTGACAGCTCCCTCTATCTGCACATTGTAATAAAACCTCTCTACCATACCCTCCTTGTTGCCAGGAAGTAAAAGCAGGAATTTGCTGTGGCCTCACCATCGGTTATCCACCCACACAATCACATGCACATATTCCAAAGTACACACATATCACAGCACATGTGTATGTGTCAGGTCTGCGCCATCTCCATTGTTGATTAGTTTCTGCAATTTCTTGTCTTCCAACTATTTAGCAAGGAGGTATCTGGTAAAATAAAGGACTCACAACTTAACAGCTCAGCAGTAATTATCACAGTAATGATGGTGGGTTTTTCAGTATTTCATGCATACTAAGAAAAAAAAAACAACAATTCACTGTACTGTATTTGTTCAGGTATTTTATAGTGTGGCAGTTTTTCCCTTGAGTTTATTAAATCTATGTGATGGTTAATGTTGTTTGCATAGGTGCTATCAATGTTTTGCTTTGAAATAAACTGTTATTGCTATTAATTCCTCTTTCCTCTTTAAGCAGTAAAATTTAGATTCTTAGTTCATAGCACTTGTCATACACTTATACATCTGTTTGAAAGTTACATACCATTATGTGTAAACTGAAGAGAATATTGTTATCAGTTTTCCTTATGGGGTCGACCAATATGGTTTTTTCAGGGCTGATATTCAAAATGATTATAAGAAATTATGGGGACCAAAAACTAATATTTGAAAGCAATATATATATATATATACATTTGTCAATATATATACAGTAAAAACTGAAATAAATTGAAAGAGAAAAAAGAAAGAATTGAAAGAAAAACTACAACTTTTGTCCTTCATTGTTGGTAGTAGTCAGTTACTCATGCCGTGTAGCCAATCAAAAGCTGTGGTTGGGACATTGCTGGAGACCACAGAGTGGTGACTATAGACAAAGAGAAGTGGCAAAATCAGTCACATTAGTGCATGTTTAAAGTAAGTTTTTTTAAATCAGGAATTGGTGAAAAAATGGGGGGGAAAGGCAAAATATTTGATCCTGTAATTGGCCAAACCGATATTCAGTCGATCCCTTGTTCCTTTGTGTACTGTACTTGTAAGACTGTAAAGACTGTAGAAGTTAAGTATAGCCCCTTTACACTTTGCTTTCTTATTCATTGTCACACATGCATTTTTATTTAGCTTGTAAAGAAATGATACCAGTATGTGATTTTCCTGACATAAATAATAACAAAAAAAATGAATATGATAAAATACAATAGGATAAAAGTTGTCTGTGGTGAACTGTAAGGGATTTGCAAAATAAACTTTGATTAAACAAAATACAATAGTTGTATTGTTTTATTTTATCTTTGTTGAGGGAAAATATTTCTTTGTTTACAGAGAAAGTGCTCACTCAGAACAAACTACACATCCCATGATGCTTAGCGGGAGTCAGGAAGTACGCCATCACGTCGCTGAAACCTTCAGCTGTCAGACTTTGGCCACCCGAGTGCAGGTTTTGTTAGCAAACTAGCGTGAACTGCACAGCTTTCTTTAAAGTTGTGCATCCATCTGCTCGTCGATCTTAGAAGGCTTAAGCTGCTGGTCGAAGTTTCGAGCTTGCACGAAGACGAAGCGCGTCGTTTTAGTCGCTGCCAGATCTTGCACCACAAGCCAGCGATCCTGAGCGGGTGTAAGGGTAGATGCACGGAGGGAGGGAGGGAGTAAAAAAAAAAAAAAAAAGGCAAAAGTCTTTGTGCTTCCCTTCCCCCTCATCAAAGCAAAGGGGAAATGTCTCTGTCCAAAGGAGGTAAGTGTGTTTTTTCTCTCCATTTTTTTAAAAGCACACATGCATAAAGTCCAAGTAGCGACGTGCAGTTTGCGTTAAAGTAGTTTAGCTAGCTGTGTAGGAGAAATGTAACCTTCCCAGGTGGAGAGCTGCATGTTTAAGAAGAGGAAAAAGAAGCTAGCCAGCATGTCTTTCCTGCTTTCTATCACTATGCGAAGCCTCTAAACACCCTGGTTTCTGTTGTTAACTTGTTCATCCACTGCTAGCTTGCAAGTTGCTAGCTTTTATTGTTAAAACGCTAGCTAAATGCTAAACTCGCATCGTGTTGTGGTTAGCTAACACCGTTTTCACGACAATAAAGGACTTTTGCCAAGCTGTAATTATCAACCAACTTGCTTCTCGGCTGGAAAACACCGATTAGTTTCTCTCTTTCCGTGAAAGGAAAGCGCATTGGTACCACAGGTGTTTGTACGTTTCGACCGTTGACTCATGGATCATCGATTGCTCGTTTTGGTTAGCGCTAAAATATTTTTAGCTCCGCGTCCGTGAAAATGTGTGTGTTTTTTTCCGCTGTGGAAATTCCTTTATTTTTAAAACGGACTGCGATGCCAAAGAAGCAGAACACTATCACACACTGACTGAAGAGTCAGTCAGCCAGCGAGCCTGTGCTGTGTAATTACTGCACACTGTTGGATAAAATACACACCTTGGAAAAATCAAGGTTCTTCCTCTGCGTCACACACACACACACACACACACACACACACACACACACACAGAGCATGATGATGATGTCAATTTACATTTCAAGTTCACCGCTTGTGCTGTTACACAATCATACTAGCGTTACCATGGTCGGGAGTACACACTGTTTTGAGAGGGCTGTGTAGATTGGCTGCTCAGGCAATCACAGCCTTTGGCCTACCATGGCATGTTTTGACTTGCAGCAGCAATAGTGCAGTGTCTCTTTGTTGACAGTTCACTGGCTGCAAGCAGAGAGCTGCTACACAGGTTCTGTGCAGTGTGCAAAGCAAAGCGGGTCCAGGGTGTCTTTGTGAAGATGCCTTTTTTTTTCAATTCTGGCCATTATAAGGAGTTTTGTGGTCAATGGTGTTGGGCCTAAGTGCATTGCTGTGCAGTTCACTGCATTGCTGAGGCATGTTTGGAGATTGGGTTTTCCCTGATAGGGTGGTGTGGAAGATTATCTGTGCATGAGTCATCATTGTCTGTATATGGACCCACTCTAAGGCTGGAGCTTCCTGATGGTGACTCGCCACATAGCTATTGACACTTTGATCCCCATGCACAATCCAGAAATTCTTGTTCACATTATGTATGTATTGCTGTGCTCTGGGTATTTTCCACTAAACATCATCAGTTTCCTAAGAATTTTTGGATTTCTTGGAAATGTGCACCAATTTACATCTGCTGTCCTGTAGTGGGTACCTCTAGTAACTAAGGTACCATGATCAATACTGAAAATAAAATACAATTTAGGTCAACATATGTCTTCCCATGCAATTAAAAACAAAGTGCGGTGGGGAGATTGTAGTTGCAGAATGTGACTTGTGCTGTATTGGATACAAAACAAGGTTTCAGTCCACACCGATATTATTCTTTATTATTATCACTAACAGTGGCATTAATTCCAGTTAATCAGGGGGACTCCTAATCTGCACTGAAATGCTTATTGCTTAGATTCTTTCTGTGAAAACACTACATGTTTTTATGCACTTTTCATGTGCAACCTTGATATACTTTGACTGCAGCTTTGGCTAATGTCATGGCACTATTGTGTCGTGTGAGGTGCAGTGTGAGGACCAGGCAGGTCTTGCAGCAGAAAGGTGCGGGGCAGCTGGCCTTGGTGTGCCCTATCAGGGACAGCAAACAGGCCAAGTGAAGTGACCTCATATTTCCCAAAGGGTCCTGACAGTTGTTGTGTTTTGAACGGATGCGTCCAGTCTGACTGGCTGTGAGTCATATCCCACTCAGCCCTAGCCCACAGGGTCAATGCACACACCATGCATTGGGCCCCCGAACAAGACGGCTACCTGAGGGGAGCTGTATTTCAAGGCCATGAAAACTTCACAGTGACCAAGCGGTAACTCATGCTTAATTCAAACTCTAGCATACGCCACTGTAGACTGCATGTATGGAGGGTAGACTCCCTGCAGCAGCACAGCATTGTTAAATATCTCTAACAGCTTAAAAACAGCTTTGGTATGTCAAATGTTTTAGTACTGCACCGGCATGTCCGCATGCTACCCTCATTTTGTTGCGTGAGCAAAAGCCTGTCTTATTTGTCAGGTCATCTGAAGACTTTGAGTGCTCATGCTTTATCCCACGCAGAGGAAATGCAAAATCTATTTTTGACTGAGCATGTGTGAGTAAATCACACTCAATCTCTCCCTACCACATGAGACTACCAGAGTCTGTCCAGACACTGTAGGCTTATTTTAGGGTTGCAACACAAAATGGATGTGGCTAAGTTTCATTGGTAGGCCATAGAATCTAAAATCTTTGTCAAAGTTCACTTCCCTTCCAGTTTGATCGAGCAAGGAGGGGTTTACCCAGTCATACTTCCTCCATGCTGGAGTGTCGTGATTCCCCTCAGAGCATAGCAGTAATATTCATACATTTTGCGAGTTTGATAAAGAATTTGTTCAGAAGTGATCATGGCTTGTGTGCATAATGTGGAGTTGCACAGCCTAGACTGACTTGTGTGTAACAAGCAGCCGGGTCTAAACTGTTTCTCATCATATCCTAATTGTGGCCTGGCAGCCCTAGCAAACACACAGATAAAAGTTCAAGTAAAGTGTACTGTTTTTCCTCTTGACCTTGCAGCAAGAGCAAACATGCTGAACATGATTGTCCGTGTCAAGAAAAGTTGAGCTATTTTCCTGTGTTGCTGCTCACAGGCTCGGTAGCTGTGTCATTCTCGCAGCCCCTTGTGGGAAGTCCCAGAGGGTGCTGGTAAACTGTGTTTATGAATGGATTGCTGTCACTGATTTAACACAGAAAGGTCCCAGAGCTTTGCAGTTTAGAACAATATGCCCTAGATCCCCGACTGTATATTAAAAAGAAAAACAAGTTTTAAAAACAACACGTTAGTGGAGTTTGTAGTGGTTAAAAAAAAATCATGACAGGAAGGAAGGTTTGATTCTCTGCCCTCCACCCCCCGCCCTCGCTCCGTTTGAGTCATCATACCAATGTTGATTAGTCATTTAGTCCACCTTCTTTCTATGGCAGGGCTTTAACTTTGTGTACACCTAATCTCAAGTTAGATAACAAATCATTTGCTATAGTTTGTGTCAGTGGCAGCTGCAAATTGGCTTTAAAAAAACACTCCCTACTCCAAGAGTGGA